CTCCAGCTTCGTCTTCAAGGTACCTGCAGCACAGCGCCAACTTCACAGGTTAATACCTGGCTCGTAACAGAGAGAGAGAGAGTTCTTCTTCTTCCACAGGTTAGTACCTGGCTCGTAACAGAGAGAGAGAGTTCTTCTTCTTCTCAGTCCACCATCTCCCTCTCCCCCTCTCATCATCTGACTTCACTGCCTCTGCAGACTACGAGAGAAGAGAGAAAGAGCTTGGTGACATTGGATCCAGACTCGACTTTTAAACTTCAGACATTGCAACGAGGGATTATTTGGGACTCGTGACAAAGACTTGGTGTGGACGACATTTCCATCTCTCCTTCTCCTCTTCGTCTGTGTATGTCTGGACCTGGCGCTTCCTTCCTGTGTACAGCGCCAGGCTCCTTCACACCTTGTGATGAGCATGATGTATGTTTGGTCTACGATGAAACATTGGTTGGGTTAGTCATCAGTATTCTAGCATTCTGCTTCGCTATCTTGCACTATGTGATAAAGGTCAGTCTCGGTCAGGTCAGGTCTTGTATCTAAATCTTCCCTGCGCTATTACACCATTTTGTATGTATCGGAATGCACATTGCTAGTTGAGATTCCACTTGCACAGCATTGTCCATTCAGTCCTTTTTATCACATTGCGGATCCTCGGTTTATATGTACATCGCCCAACCGGGCATGTAACAGACACATGCCCTGGAGGCCCACGGCGGCCCTCAGGCCGCAGGTTTCAATTACAGGCAGCATTTATTTATTCATTTATTTATTTGCTGTCCTATTTTTGTCTGTTCAGACGTTGTTTCAGACTTGCAGTGGCTGGGCACACCAGGGGCAGGGCAGTTTGAGGCCAGGCGCTTTTTTGCACCTTGCTGCATCAGCAGCACGGTTTGGACGCCCGGTAGGGGCCCAGACTGTATGGGCCGTTTTTGGCCAGCATCAGAGGCACGCCCAGCCAGGCCCAGCGCTACTTATAGCTGGGCTGCAGCTGGGCACACAGTTCGAGTAGCTCACTTCTTCGGCTCCGCACGCTACAGCGCTGCGCTGCGTTAGAGTAGAGGCGTAGATAGGCAGAGGGGTGGAGGCCATACCTGCATTGGCAAGCTTACCTGGTGCCATAGCTGGGGCTCCACGCCGGCGACCTGCATATGACGATGACGAAGACGGAAGTCAGTACCAGGCCGCCATCTGCAGGTGAGACAGCGAGGAGGATGATATCTTCTTCTTCGTCGTCCTCCACCTCTCCTCCCTCCTACCTTCTTCTTCTTCTTCTTCTTTACATCGGGCATACGCCCAGGATCTGATTCGACATTTTGCGGCAGACATTGATTGAACACTCGGCAAGGGACTATTTTTGGACTTCACTATCACAATCTTGGTCTTCTCCCTCGCCTCCATCTTCGTCTCGCCTCCTCCCCCCCCATCTCTCATCCGTGGTATCTCCCCCATGTGTGTGCGCAAGTAGGGACCTTTCTTCTGTGTATGAGGTCCCTCCTCCCTCTCTCACATGTGTGGCGTATGATGGGGTGTCGTGTCAGTATCTGACAGGTAATGTCATATCTTTGAGTCTTCTGTTGCGCTACATTGTGCTATTTTCATATGTATCTGGATGTACATTGCTTGTTGATGCTCAGCCCCTCTTTCGGAGCAGGGAACCAGTTGGCGGCTGCACATATCTGGCGCCTGGCATAGGGCGAAGAGGTTCCCGTCCCGATACAACCTGCTCAGTTAATCCTCTGGACCCCAGAGCAATCAATGCTGGCAGGGTTTTCTCTACTTCAGTCTGCATTTTCACTATGTATATGGGACGCTGAACCCGCTTTCCAGCAGGTGACGCTCCCCACCAATAGATGGAGCCTCCCCCCCGGTGCTAGCGGTGTCTGCTCTTACCAGCACCTCTAGCACTGGTGAGGGTTGTCTTTTTAAAAAAAAAAAAAAAA